ACTTCTCTTTTCTGCTAAGTTTAACTACAGGGCCATATTTTTTTCTTTGTCTTGCCATAAGAAGATATAACTCGAAGGCTTGAGATTACATGAAAGGGTCGTTGTCTTAAGATTTTGACGAGTTCATTTGAACACAAACGACAGAACTTACTGTAACAGTAATTATGAATTTACATTTTAAAATGTTCTTAAATACTATCTAGAACCGAAAAAATCATAAATGATCAAATATCAAACATTACTTAAAGATTTTAACACTTTAAACAGCCAATATCTTGGCTACAACATTTTCAATTCTGCCGTGTGAAGCTTTCTTTGAGGATTCTGTTTATCACTATTTTACCATCTTTTATCCTGATTTCCCAACATGTGTTCTGTCACAAATTCAATTCGCTCACAAACCCAATATAAGGAAATCATATCGATCAATAATGACATCATAGATAGAAAAAATATCTCACATTTCAAATAAAACAGACTGTACTGTAAAGCCCGGTCTCCGTTGAACGGTAAAACAATACTCTTTTGAGATATTTAATTGACAAACCTTACATGACGAACCTTTCACTGGACATTTCTGAGATGTTTAAAGGTTTGTAAATAAAATAAAACATTCAATGTTGCTTTGTCGCAACTGAGTGCTTTAAGATTAACATTTAATGTAAATAATGTTTTATTTGAGTGTCACGAACCTTTCAATTAAAGTTATTAGTTTAAATAATTGATATATAATCTTTTTCGTACCTAAATGCAGTTCAACTTCCTACAATATAAAAATTATTTAAAAAAACGAATTCATTTTGAGCAAATGTTGCCGTTGTTTTAGGTATGGTAACTATATCAGGATGCTATGATTCAAAATGTAACAAACCTTTCAAACGTTTTGCAGACAATAAAGAACTTAACATAGTTTCATTAATTAAAATTGTACTATATATTGTATAAGGAATTGTGTCATGTCATCGTAATGAATTTGACCGGTTGTCGCTAGCGACAACGTCACGCGCAAAAAAGTGTAAAAAGTCAGGTACCATAGTTTTCAATATGTAAATTACTTTCTTCTTTCCTTTCACAATATTTCCTTTTTCAAAGATTTGATTAATTGATTGGATTGTTCACGTTTATGTTATAGTGTCTTTTTCATTACGAAAAAAGAAACAAAGAGAGCAAGCAAATAAAAACTTAATCTTGTTAAGAAAACTAAATGAAATATTTCGTATCTTTAACCTTCTAGGACAATCTATTAAAACACACAATATTTTGAGGTTGATAAATAACTTGATTATTCGGATTATTTATTTATTTTGGCAAGTCATTTTACAAAATAAAATTCATTCAATATAAATATGATTTGTACACTTATTAAAAGTGTGTACTAGACTTTCCATCTTAAGACTTTGATCGTGTAGAGCCATCTGTCTTGAAACTTACTAATAATTTTGAAGTTGATAAATGAGAATGATTCTTCGGTTTACTAAATTATTTTGGCAGGTGATTATTCTTACAAAGTAAAAATTAATTAAACATTACTATGATGTGTACCCTAATCATTATAATAAATAGTGTGTTCTGGATTATTTTACACAATTTATGGCTCCTGCTTCCTGTGTTTTATATAATTGATTGAAAATATGGGCAATGGTAATGGTTAAACAATGTTAAAATGAAAAACAATGTTGTTTACCGTTGTTCATTTCGTAAACCTAATCAGTTTGTGCCTGTATTATTTATATCACCACAATATGATTACTAGATGTTTTGTATCATTTAATTTATTACACCTATTTTTTATGTTTGTCAGTAAAATACGAGCCATTCTAAGGTTTCTGGCAAAACATGTGCGGAAATATGAATATTTTTGCAATTGAATCTACACAAGACAAATGTATCTCGAATAAACAGCAAAGTGTTGTTGAAAATATTTAATGTTTTCCATGACCTATTACCAAACAATATATCTTACCTGTGATTATCAAATTTTTCGAACAATACGTTCAGTTTTTATTGTAAGTTTTCATGAGTTTAGAAATATCTTTAACAAACATTGTTGCAAAGACGTTTTTATGCTCGTGATATGCAATGATATAGCGTTTTTTTACATTTTTTTCTGAGAGTTACTATCCTCTTTGCGATTCATTCATATCTAAAGAAAGAAAACCATGTTTCTATCCCGAGTTTCATGCTAATGTTCATGAATAAAATAAATTTATTTAAAAGTAAAACAGTGTCAAAAGAAAGTCATTTATACTTTGCAAACAGCACTTACAATCATCAGATAATAGGTCAGAATATGAACCAAACAGAATATCCAATGCAAATCAAATATGAGAAAGGGTGATCGAAAGTATTTACCACAACAAAATCTTATTAAAATTGCATACTCGGCTTGATTGAGTCTGTACATGGGGGATAATTAAAAGGCGCAACATCCCTCATGTCACCTAGCATGGCTTGAGCCTACTCAATTGTTCACGCTTAAAAGTGCTATAATCATTGATCCCTAAGGGCCAGAAAAATACTAACATTTGACACCTGCTTGATGCCTTAGTAGTAGAAATGATAATTGCAATATCTCATAAATTTCTAACAACTGCTTCAGCATTGTATTGCACCCTGTTCCATATTGTTTGTCTATTGTTTTTACCGGGTATATTGGTTGCACATTCCTGTCCATCGTTCGTAACTTACCAAAAATTTAATACTACAGAACAATATCGCTTGGCAGTTTGCAATGACTTTCACTCTGCTTTACTTAAGCTTAAAGACCTTTCTTGGTTCATTTAATGAAGAGATGTTGTGTTCACAGTAGTGCTTAAGCAAATGGGCCATACATCACTCGATATTGATTATTAACAAATTCCTTTCATCTAGTGACTTTATAATTACCATGCGTACAATAAATTACACAATTTATCGAACCCATTATGTTTGTACATTTTAATGACAATTACAGATGGTGTTTGTTTCATTGATTGGTATTTGTTTAAAGTTAAATTGTAATTATTTTCACCAAATTAAACGTTGCAATAACCAACACATAGTTTGATTAAAATCCCTGCTCCAGCTGATATCTTAGAAATATTGCAATTTACATTTCTATCATTATAACGTATGTGAAGCTCAGCATCAGAATTACATTTTTGTAAAAGAGTAGATTTTATAGATACTACGAATAATATAATGATGATAATAACACGAATAGTAGTAACAATGATAACAAAAATAATAAGTGTAATAAATAAATGATAATGATGCTGATAGTAATACAATTGTTAACAATAATTATAATAATGAAAATGATAATTATAATAATGAATACCTGAATTTGTAGGTAGTATTTTAAGCAACGAAAATCATATACAAACTATTTAAATCATTTTGTAACAATGTGGCCTTCAATGAAAGTTAAATTAATAAAATAACAGATCTGCAAATTCTGTATTGAAATTATTTACAACTGTTACAATACTTACTTCAATAAATCAGATTGAATTCATAAAGCTGCATGCCTCGAGATTGTCCAAAATATTTCAAGAAAATCGACCCTGAAAAAAATGAATTACAATTTTAAGCAAAGTAAAAATATTCACAATAATTCAAGAATAGTTTAAATGTTATATATGCAATAAATGACTGATTTTACAGTATTTACCACCATATTTTACTTATGATTTGTGCAGTAAGGGCTATTTAACATATTCTTACGTATCGTTTGTACGTTTTGTAGATAAGTGTTTTTTGCAATGGATCTCTCACTTTTTAGTTCACGTGACAATATCTAACTTTTTAATAATTCATTTATTCATGGACATTAGCATAAATCTCGAGACACGCTGCTTGAAACGGAAACAATGTTTTATTTTGTAGAAATATGAGTATTATAACTGTATCTTCATATATGAAAAAGTAAGGGGTACAAAAAAACAGTATATTTTTCATATCTTACATTAACATGTTTGCTAATAATATTTCGAAATTCGTAAAAACTTTGAATAATAACGGAAAATATTGTTTTGAATAATAGGTATTTATAGAACTTCTAAAGTGAGGGATATTTTGACAGGATTGTAAGATATCATGCATTATGTTGATATGTAAAGTAACTAAATCATGTAAGACATTAAGCATTACAGTTTGAGTAACAAATTACTGTTTATATGAGATACCAGCGTCTTGTGTCGATGTAATAGCGATTATATACATAACAGGCATCATAAAATATTTTAAGTATTTTAACTGACAAACATAAAAATCAGGTGTAATTAATTGAATGATACTGACACAAAATGATTAGTTTTAATCAATAAATGAACAACGGTAAACAACACTGTTTTTCATTTTAATATTGTTTTACAATAACCATGTCAATATTATTAATTACTCACATTTAACAAAGGAAGTCGGAGCCATAAATTGTGTTAAACACTATTTATTACTATGATAAAGGTACAAATCATACTTGCGTTGAATTAATTGTTTTTGGTAAGAATAATAACCTGCCAAAATAATTTAGTAAACCGAAGAAACATACTTTTTTATTAACTTCAAAATGTTAGTACATTACCAGACAGATGGCTCTACGCGATAATTTATTCAGGTTAATAACCTATATTATTAACCTTATTACACATCGCAAGGATCTGATACATGTACAAATATGGTATACATGAAGCGGAGGGATACATTAAGTACTACTTATCTTAGAAAAGCGCAGCACCGATCGTTGTTCTTTCTTTGCAATCTGGAAGCCAACGAAGAAGGTAGTTGTACTGACGCAATGTTTAAAACTTAAAATTAAATATTTTTACATAATTAAAATGCTTTTAAGACAATTTTAAGAGCATGTACATTATTAAAACCTAGACTTTTTCTATTTTAGAAAGGAAATATTAATTTGTTTAATCTTTATTAAATTTATTTACTAAAATTGTGATTGATAAGTTTAAGGTTGACTGTCTGAAAAATTTAATGTTTAATGACGTCACAGTGACTGTTGATTTCTGACGTCAGAGCACGTACACTTTATATTTATTTTTCTTTCTTTCATATCGATTTCGTACTGAGTCAAAATGCCGAAACGAAAAGCAAATTCATTGCCAGCACAAGTAAAGGCTGTTCGGAGTGCACGGTTGCACACCCAGAGGCCACTTGGCAGACCGGATATAGTCGCTACACAATCACAGTCAGTTCTACCGGAGGTGGAAAACAATAGTCAGGCATCGGTATTGGAAGACCAACAGCAGCATGATAATGGTAATACTGTTGATTTTCCTTCAAACATTGTCAAATCTTGTGGTACTAATATGTTCGCCGCTAACGTTAAAGAAAGTATAAAAGGAAAAATATGGAATAATCAATTCTATGGAACAGAATTAATGCATTTATTCCATCTTGCTTTATGATATCGGAACTTACATTATGCTTGCTTCTATACTTCTTTATTTGCTGAATTCAATCATGCCTTATGATTACTGAATGCACTTTCATGTAATTGCAACCTTGTGTGTTCCCTACTAAACCATCAAACTCACATATTTTAATATGCTATGTGTTTAATTGCATCTTTTTTTAAGGACAACGTATTATGTTTGGTGTTTAAGATAACATTCTTTATAACTATATGTAACATGGTAGTTGTATCTTTAATTTGCTATAAATCTGCCACTTATATTGTCGACATTATTTCAAATTAAACTATTCATTTTGATCAATAATTGGCTGATTTTATGTGTCTTAGCATTCATATGCTTCAATATATTCACTGATTACAAATATAATGCAATACATGATCACTGCGCATCGACAACGAAGATGAAAACGATAGCGATATTATAGTCGCATGTGACAGTACGCACTAAGCAGTTGGCAGTAAGCATAATGCGAGTTGCAATAATTTGTGTTCATATTATGACAGCAGGTGTCGCTTTGTCGGTACATCCCGTTATTTTCCGGATGATCCCGTATTTTGGCACGTGGAGTAAACAAAGTTACATCCACTTTATATAGGGGCGTATACAGAACAGTGTTAGTTGGGGACTGACATGTAAATTTACTAAAACAACAAGAGAACATGATGCGACAGACGAAAAGTGCGTGTTTTTGAAGATTCCGCCAGCATGTGGAAAAAAAAGTTATATATGTCTCTAATAACTCATCCTACAAGTGGCAACTCACCCCTTATACAATTGTTTACACTTCTTTTTGAGCGTGTGTGATAAGTGAAATTGAATTTTATTAAACTTAAGGTGGCACGAAGGTGACATGTGTGTGTGTTTTTATTTATCTCGTGCGCACGAGATACTGTGTCGTGGCCACGGGTTACTAAGTCGTGGCCACGAGATAATTAAGTCGTGGGAACGAGATACTATGTTGTGGCCACGAGTTACTAAATCGTGGCTACGAGGTAATTAAGTCGTGGGAACGAGATAACTAAGTCGTGGCCACGAGTTACTAAGTCGTGGCCACGAGATAAATAAGTCGTTGGAACAAGTTACTATGTCGTGGCCACGAGAAAGTTTAGTCGTGGCCACGAAAAAGTTAAGTCGTGCGAACGAGATAAATAACCAATCAAATTACACTATTTATATGAATTTTCCTAACAAGGATGTCCCTACTTCATTTGTCTGAAAAGTGCCATTTATACAAGTTATTGATTGGTCAAAGATTTAGTGTCATTGTGACCCTGATTTCTGACCAAATTTCCTAAAAATTATTAGGTGTCATCTACTGATCTTTGTAGGTTATATAAATTACGGCTTATTCTTTTTAAATCATTCATCAGACAAGGATTTTGCATGAAGTGTCATGTTTATCTGACCTGTGACCTCAAACATCCTTATAGGATATCTACTGTCCATGGGCAATGTCCCTTCCCAATAAAATAAACCAGGACTAAGTCCCTCTCAAGTTATGGTATAAACAATGTTAACAGGCCTTTGTACGTACAAAATGACCAATTCTATCATAGAATTGTCCCAACAAAGGGCTATAACTAAAGAGATAAATAAAAACACACACATGTCACTTAGTAACTCGTGGCCACGACTCGTGGCCACGATCTATTTTAAGATCACATCAGTGTTATTTGTGCCGTGTGGCGGCTGTAAAAAGTCGCCCCGTACATTTAATCAATGATGTTATATTTTCGATCCTTGAAGATCGTTCAGCACGACATTATTATTGTGCTTGTGGTATTTTTAGTTTCAACTTTTTGGCATTTTCTAGTTGGGTGGTTCCAATATTCCTACATGAATAATGTTGAATCACCCTTAGGATATGTTGCCTGCTTTTTAAATTTGTCTTTTGACGTCTTATCTGTGATACGCAGGCTTCATAACCTCTGATCCCCTTTCAAAATTCTATTTTATTTAGTTCCGCCCATTGTTTTCTCGTTTAGGGCACACGGTTTTTATTACTTGGGGACCATACGCCGCTTTTCATGGAATGGCACGGAAGTGTCACATTGAAGGTTCCATGATAACCGCCGTATGAACACATCTGCGGATGTTTCTAAATTCAAAATTCTACCATTTCATGTTTAAATGTTGAATTCTGCTTAAGCCGGTGCTAGGGGGCGTGGACGGTAACTTGCACTTTCCAGTACCGTCCATGAACAGGCTCAATCAAACCGAGCCTGCAACATTTTCAATTCAGTCGTGTTGGGCTTTCTTTAGGGATTCTTTATTTATCTATTTTTAGTACAGTTCAAACTTGATTTTTTTTGTAAAATAAAATAAATATAATTTGGCTTCACACAAACATTGTGCTTTAAATACTTTACACTGTAATTGGGCAGTATGAATATTCATGTATAGTGTTATTACAAAAATATATATGGAAGTTTCTTTTAAAGACAGGCACAACTTTACTTGACCCGCAATAAGGAAAGCAGATTCCTATACATTATGTGTATGTGTTTTTATTTAAATAAAACATATTTAGTAAGAATTTTATAGATTTCAATAAATTTCTGTGATAAAAATATATTACTGAAAGATGTGCATAGTATATCTTTAAGCACAAATGTATGTGAATGTGGTGGTGTGTGCGGGATGTCTGATCTATAATCAGACACACATTTGCCCAACATTTGTAATTGACTATGCACATGTCACAAAAATAAACAACTTCCTTCTTTCCTTATCATACATGTATATTTTAATGTGTTACATACCTATTCGCCACTATTAGTGACTGAGACATTTATTAAGTTAAAAGGCCAATTAATAAGTTTTGCTTTTCTATGTCCAAGTCATTAGATAAAGGCTTTCGCAATCGTAGACAGGTGCTTAACAACTGGATGACAGCATTATATGTTTTGATAAGGGAGTACACTATGACCACTATTGCATGAAACTTACACGTATATATTCCATTCCAGCTCATCAACGTATCTTTGGGGGTAGGTGCAGCCCTTAAGCCAAGGCCCGAATCCGCCACTGTACGTATAACTGCCCCATTGAATAACTGTTTACGAGCATATTTTTTCTATTAGACTGTATACAAATACATGTATAAAATTATATTGCATAATCCTTACTACTTGTATTTATATTCTTTCCACTGCAATTTATGTATTAAGCGCTTGGGACGTATTTATAGCATTGTCGCCCTCTGTATTTTAACGTATAACCACGATGGCCATAACGGTATTCCGTAATATATACATGTACGGAAAATTCCGATGATAGGCGAATCATGGAAAAAATCCGTTGGAATCGATAACAGAGTTCTCGCCCCTTAACAGTTCACAAATCGCTAGACATTGTTTAAATTGTTTATCATAATGTAAGATGATCAAACATAATCCACAAAGCCTCAGACACCGAGCGTTATTAAGCATAAACACTGAATAATGGATATAAGCGAAAGCTAATAGTAATCACGCCATGTGTCGTATAACGGAGGAAGAACTCACGGATGTTACATACTTTTAATATACAAATACAAACACACAAGTGAACGAGTGGAATACCAAAGTCGAACTCCCCTCTCTGACATTTGAGAATAGTATATATAATATCAACCTGTCCTAAGGACATTTTATAATGTATATAAATACACACGTTTTAGAGTTACATACATTAATCATCCTGACATAAGGTCAGTCCATATGCATCCTGCACTATAATACTCATAAATCATGTCATGTTCCATAGTGCACATTAAGAAATAAAAACCTTAATATATGTATATACATGTTGACTTGTCATTCTTTTTGAATATAGCGTGTATGACTCATTAGCCTGTGCAATCAGCTATACGACAAATATCCTCCTTTTCTTACATAAAAAAAATATTTAAAAAAAAAAGTTTTAAACAAGGTTACTATCAAATATTTCAAACTCGTTGTAACAAATTAAAAAAAAAATCTAAAATCAACTTGACATCTGTTTATTTTTCCCCAAAAATTTGAACACTTTCTCCCAAATCTTGTTTTAAATTTCTCAAAAGATAAAATTCATGATGTAAATCTTTAATTTCCCCAAATCTAGTACTTATTTCTTCTTTTAATTGTTCCCACGAATTACGATGATTATCACGCAAATATCTACATATAAAATCGCTTATAGTCCCTTTACTTGATTGAAATGCGACTAATTTTATTGTATTATCATCCAAACCTTTTAAAATAGCATATTTTTCTATAGATTTTATCCAGTCATTAAAATATTTAGAATTTCCATCAAAATTTTGTACTATTTCTGATAAACCCTGTGTACCTATGACAGTTGAAATATTGTTCAATTTATCTGACAAATTTTCAAAAATTGTAGCTATATCTTGATCTGACATCTTCAAAATTAGCAAATTACAGGTATATAAACGATCACTCACCTTTAATTTTCTGTTTCAGGTACTTCGTTGTGTCCCGCTGTCCAAAATCGTCGCTTCGACATCGCTGGTCTTAGGCGCCAAATCAACCGTTGTCGTATAACGGAGGAAGAACTCACGGATGTTACATACTTTTAATATACAAATACAAACACACATGTGAACGAGTGGAATACCAAAGTCGAACTCCCCTCTCTGACATTTGAGAATAGTATATATAATATCAACCTGTCCTAAGGACATTTTATAATGTATATAAATACACACGTTTTAGAGTTACATATATTAATCATCCTGACATAAGGTCAGTCCGTATGCATCCTGCACTATAATACTCATAAATCATGTCATGTTCCATAGTGCACATTAAGAAATAAAAACCTTAATATATGTATATACATGTTGACTTGTCATTCTTTTTGAATATAGCGTGTATGACTCATTAGCCTGTGCAATCAGCTATACGACACATGCGAGCTGTAAATCAAATAAGTCCCATTTTAACAAAATCCATCAAGGAACAAAAAATAGTCAATTTTAAATGACTTCTACATAAAAGTAATACAAAAAAAACTAAACCGTAAATGGTTTGTATAGAGCACGAAGAAAGGTAGCTTATGCATAAAGGTATAAGACGTTAACATTTTAGTATCTCAAATGGCTTGTTCCAGTTTAATAGTTATCACTCAATGAAAGAATTGGTCACTACGAAATGTTTGAATGAAATAATGAAAAATGGAATCCAGAATAATGCAACGTTTAAATATCATAAAAATTAAATAAAAAATAAAAATTTAAAATGCAAAAAAGTGTTTTCAGTACAATAATTTTGGAACTTGCACAAAACCTAAATGTCAATATAACCATACCTACTTAAGGTGTCAAGGCATGCACGCCAAGATAACGTGCCGTCAGTTCAGCGGTTTACCGTTGCAAAGCAGCGGTTTACCGTTGCAAAGGTTCCATAACCCTGTTAACTTTTCGGGTGCCCTTATCGTCCAGTCAGGACACACATATCTGGTGTTCATTTCAGGAGCCAGTTATCACCAAGAGACACATTATACCGGGAAACCAAGGCCCTGGAAGGTTTATGGGAACTAGGCCAAACCCCAATCAACGTTTATAATGTAAAGCACGAACTTGCAAAATATCCTAATCAGTCTGATGCTAGATTCCTTCTGGATGGTTTTCAATATGGTTTTAAATTGTATTATACAGGTCCCAGGATTCCTATATTCTCAACAAACTTAACTTCAGTTAAATATGATCAGACGATGTTAAAACTTAAACTTCACGAATATCGCAAACTTGGTAGAATCACAGGTCCATTTACGTTACCCCCTTTACCTAATCTTAGGATAAATTCTGTCGGTCTCGTCCCAAAGCGGACCGGTGGATTTCGTCTAATTACAAATTTGTCGTTTCCGGCTGGTATCAGCGTAAATGATTACATTGACCCAGATTATAAGCACGTGACATATTCTTCGTTTGATAATGCAGTAAATATGGTTCAAAAACTTGGAAAATGCGCATTTATGGCGAAAGCCGATATTTCGTCAGCATTTAATTTGTGCCCAATTTGGCCAGGTGATTTTGATTTGCTAGGCATTAAATCAGATGAAGGGTATTGGATACAAAAGACATTACCAATGGGAGCGTCTTGTTCCTGTTTCATTTTCGAAAAATTTTCGACTTTTATTGAGTGGTTGGCCAAAAAGGAAGCAAAGTCTGATTATTATGATCATCTTTTAGATGATTTCATTATGATGCATAATTCGTTCGATAACTGTCAGTTTCTCATGTTAAATTTTTTAGAAGTATGTGCACGTCTTAATGTTCCATTAAGCAAAGACAAATGGGAGGGTCCAGTAAAAATTATTACGTATTTGGGTCTTAAGATTGACGCGTGCGAACAAATGATACGCGTTCCGCAGGATAAAATTTATAAAGCAAAATCGGCATTATTATCTTTGATTGAAAGTAAAAAGGTTACCCTTCAACAGCTGCAAGCGCTTACCGGTTTGTTAAACGTTTTAGCTAAAGCGTTACCGTCAGGGAGAGCATTTATTTGAAGGTTCTATGATAGAATGTCGAAAGTAAAAAAATCATTTCACTTTGTTAGGGTCTCTAAAGATATGAGAGACGACGCTTATACTTGGTTACAATTTCTTGAAGAGTTTAATGGTACACGAATATTTAATGAGTCCGAATGGTTTGAAAATGACGTTCTTGAGTTATATACGGACGCTGCTGGAAACAGAAATATGGGATGCGGTTGTTATTTCAATGGTTCATGGTCTGTATTTAAATGGCCGCAGACCTGGGAGAAAAACATATTTAAAGACATTACATATTTAGAACTTATTCCAATCCTTCTAGCGTTCTGGGGTCGGTTGCTAGAAAGGAAAAAGATAATATTAAGGACTGATAACGCTGCCCTGGTTGATATTCTGAATAAAAAGTCATCAAGGAACAAGAATGTAATGGTACTCTTTAGTTCTTTAGTCTTGGTAACTCTCAAGAGAAATATTCAAGTAAAAGCAAAGCACATTCATGGTAAACGTAACAAATTTTGTGACGCTATTAGTCGTTTTCAGTGGCAAAGACTTCACAGAGTTCTGCCGGACTCCGCGTCAAGGACGACATGCTCGATCCCGGACTCTTTCCTTCAGATATTGCGCTTGAACATGAAGTAGATAGGCTTATATATGCATTTTTGGCAGACAGCACTCGCAAGTCTTACCATTCAGCCGTATCGGCGTTTGAATCTTTTTGCATAAATGTTGGTTTTAAAATCATTTGGCCTCCAAACGTTGACGTAATATGTCAATATGTAGCATTCATGTCTTTAAAACAATTTTCGTACTCACATGTGAATATCCACTTATCGGCTATTAATTATATCAACAAATTGAGTGGTTCTGTTGACAATACAAAACAATTTATCGTTAGAAAAATGGTCGAAGGTTTGCGACGAGTTAAAAGAAAAACGACACAAGAGACCCAGTCACACACGATATCCTTGAGAAAATCATTCAATCATTACCATTAATTTGTAGGTCAAAGTTTGAGTCTCTATTATTTGCAGCAGCATATTCATTAGCATTTATAGCGCTGCTCAGAGTAAGTGAGTTTACTCTCCCAGGCAAGAGATCAAAAAAGCCGGTGCTTCAGTTCGAGGATGTTACAATCTCGGATACTTGTTTACGGTTGATAATAAAATCCTCAAAAACTGATCAAAGGTGTAATGGTTGTTCTGTCGTTATTCCAATAGATCCCCAGAATAGATTCTGTGTAAAGCATATAAGGTCATATATATATTACCGTCCGACTCATGGGGGTCCACTGTTCTGTCATTTTGATGGTTCCCCATTAACCAGTTTTCAGTTCAATGCATTATTGAGAAAGACCTTGAGTTTTATCGGTCTTGGTACAAAGACTCTAAAGTCGCATTCCTTCAGGATTGGCGGAGCCTCAAAAATGTTTAAAGACGGGTGTTCAATCAGTGAAATCAAAGTAAGAGGTAGATGGCGTTCAGGTGCTTAAAAAACATATATCCGTTAATCCATGCTGTCGCAAATGCTTTGTTAATTCTGATTTATGTGTTATATCAGTGTGGGTTTTATTTTGATATTTTTTTTAAGGTATTTTTTTTTTTAAATTATTTATCCCACCATTCTTATTGACTGATTTATAAAAAAAGGTTTAACTGTACCTCCATCGTGCTCTGTCACTTGCATGCACATATCATAAGTTTTCTAATATGTATATAAATGTTTAAATTGAATACAATTATCAAAAAAGTAAATATATAAGAATAATATACATTAACTGAAATAAAGATAAATATAGATATAAGATATTATGTTCTGTATATACGTTGGTACATGATGTTACCAAGTTTGTTTGTTTATTTGTTCGTGTCTAAAGGATCTGCCAAATGACCTTGTTATGGTCCGGCGATTTGTTTTAAGTTTAATTTGCAATAAAGTGATATCCAGCGGTTTTGGCTTCGTTACTGAGTCAATTTCGCAATTTTTAAAATCTTAATGGAATATGATTGATTGCATTTCTTAGCTATTAATTACTTACTGTCTGTTCCCGATATTATATTAAAAGTATATAGGCAAGATTTTAGACCAATTCATTGTTATCCAATTTGGAAGTAACCTTTTAGTCGGTTAGTTTATATTTCACATTTAATAATACCGATAATATTCCTGTACAAGAAACATGGATACAACCGTTTTCTCACAGAAGTTAAGAATTTAAATGCTTTTAATAATTCAGCTTTACAGTCCAAGGGAATTCATCTATATCAATGGTGTGATTTCAGGTTACACCTATGACAACATATTTCATGTATGGGTGTGTGGTTCGTCGCTGGTCACTGGGGCATCGAATCGGGCCTCGGAACGCCCTGACGGACATAACATTGGGATGGAGAATTTAGGGGTGAAGGTTACATGGTTAGGTATGAGCGGGATGAGGGTACACCATTTAAAGGAAACGATAAGTTACCATCTTCAGTTTAATCCGAAGCCTGATATGCTGATCATTCATTGTGGGGGAAATGACATAAGGTGCCAAGATAGACCTGGTCTAGAACTCAGTTGGAAACTTAAAAAATGTATTTATGACGGTAATGACGACTACGACCTTAACGGTGACATTGAAAGTATCCAACAAAAGTTGCCAAACTGTAGAATGATATATTCTCAAATTTTACCACGTTTAACATGGCGTTACTATGCAAATCATCGGGAAATAGTTAATCGAATCAGAAAAAGGGTGAACAGTTGTATTGGAGCTTATACTGTTAGGAAAGGTGGGGGTTACATTAAATATCCAAACATTATCGAAGACCCTAGGTTTTTTTCTGACGGCACGCACCTTAGCTCTTTAGGTTATGACATCAAGCTATATACAATTGGGTCAGCACTATATTCATTCAAATGTTTAGGAAATTCTACATTTCCTGTCTCATAATTAGTGCATAACATAGCACAGATGTTTTTTTTTTTTTTTTTTTTTTTTATTGTGCCCCCACGTTAGTGGCGGGCATTTAGATTTACCCTTGTCCGTCCGTCCGTCCGTCCGTCCTTCCGTCCGTCCGTCCGTTCACTTTTGTGTCGCACGTAACTCAAAAAGTATTTGACATAGAGTCATGAAACTTTACAGGAATGTTGATCAGCATGTGTAGTTGTGCACCTGGGTATTTTCGTCTGGATATTTTTAGTATTTTCAGAGTAATTGCCCTTGACTTAGTAAAATTTTGCAATTTTCAACATGTGTCGCACGTAACTCAAAAAGTATTTGACCTAGAGTCATGAAACTTTACAGGAATGTTGATCAGCATGTGTAGTTGTGCACCTGGGTATTTTCGTCTGGATATTTTTAGTATTTTCAGAGTTATTGCCCTTGACTTAGTAAAATTTTGCAATTTTCAACTTGTGTCGCAAGTAACTCAAAAAGTATTTCACCTAGAGTCATGAAACTTTACAGGAATGTTGATCAGCATGTGTAGTTGTGCACCTGGGTATTTTCGTCTGGATATTTTTAGTTTTTTCAGAGTTATTGCCCTTGACTTAGTAAAATTTTGCAATTTTCAACTTGTGTCGCAAGTAACTCAAAAAGTATTTCACCTAGAGTCATGAAACTTTACAGGAATGTTGATCAGCATGTGTAGTTGTGCACCTGGGTATTTTCGTCTGAATATTTTTAGTATTTTCAGAGTTATTGCCCTTGACTTAGTAAAATTTTGAATTTTCAACTTGTGTCGCAAGTAACTCAAAAAGTATTTGACCTAGAGTCATGAAACTTTACAGGAATGTTGATCAGCATGTGTAGTTGTGCACCTGAGTATCTTCGTCTGGATATTTTTAGTATTTTCAGAGTTATTGCCCTTGAGTTAGTAAAATTTGGCAATTTTCAACATGTGTCGCACGTAACTCAAAAAGTATTTGACCTAGAGTCATTAAACTTTACAGGAATGTTGATCAGCATGTGTAGTTGTGCACCTGGGTATTTTCGTCTGGATATGTTTAGTATTTTCAGAGTTATTGCCCTTGAGCAAGTAAAATTTTGCAATTTTCAACATGTGTCACACGTAACTCAAAAAGTATTTAACCTAGAGTCATGTAACTTTACAGGAATATTGATCAGCATGTGCAGTTGTGTACCAGGTATTTTCGTCAGGATTTATATAGTATTTTTAGAGTTATTGCCCTTCACGTGCCCTGCCCTTAACAATTTTCAACTTAAGTCGCAAGTTTCTCAAAAAGGATTTGACATAGTCATTAAACCTTATGGGCAGGTTGCTCAGCATATTTTAGATTTGCACCTGGGGTTTCGCTTGTGGATTTATCCAGTATTTGTAGAGTTATTTCCCTTGACTTAGTAAAAAGATTGACAGAACAGTGGCGCGGTGTGGGCACCCGTGTCCTATGGACACATTTCTAGTTTTTTTATTTACAGCATATATCATATGTACGACATCTTTGCGCGAACATTGTCATGGCTGAAAATTCATCCTATACCGCTTTGGCGGAAGGGTCGTTAGAGACCCTTTTTGGCATTTTTATAGCATGAATTTCAGATTTTTGCTGCCGTAATCGGAGCGAAAACGCAAAATATACTACATAAAGATAATAAATTATTCAATTAGCATTTCAAATTTTCATCTTTGAATATGATACTCAGCTATGACAATGTTTACGCCAAAAACTTAATAAAATAAATTTAGTAAAACTTTAATCGGTGTTGAGTCTTTGTCGATGGGTAATTTATTCAGGTTAATAACCTATATTATTAACCTTATTACACATCGCAAGGATCAGATACATGTACAAATATGGTATACATGAAGCGGAGGGATACATTAAGTACTACTTTTCTTAGAAAAGCGCAGCACCGATCGTTGTTCTTTCTTTGCAATCTGGAAGCCAACGAAGAAGGTAGTTGTACTGACGCAATGTTTAAAACTTAAAGTTTAAATATTTTCAAATAATTAAAATGCTTTTAACCCACCCTCCCACCTCAGAGATTTTTTTTGCTGTCCGTTTTTTGTTGTATAATTTCAGATAGAGTTTAGCAGACGATCGTCATAGCGAGTATAAAGGCAGACAAGGAGACCAGTCCAGCACGTGTGCAATGATATATAATGCAAATGGACTACGAGAAGATACTTAAAATTCTTTAACCCTTTCCCCCATGAGCATATTGTGAAAAATGGCCGTTTTCACTGAAAACCCTCCTGCTACAAGTTCAAACTGCTATGAAACTATGAAAAATGCTACAATACTAATCAAACTTGGCACAAATGTTGACTGGACCATTGCCTTTGTAACGACATGCTCAGTCTTGAATTTCCTGTTACCATGGCAACGAGGGGACATCTCAAAATTGCCAAAAATCACTATTTTGCCTCGATTTTTTCCATCAAAATTTATTTCAAAGTGCTGCAACTTCTCAAGGGATTGAGATAGAGTCAAAGGCTTTTCAGCGTTGGTTACACGTTACATTATGATCGACCTGGGGTCATTTTTAGCCTCTCACAAGTCCAAAATTTTCTTGGCACATCCCCCTTCTGGCAACCCCCTGATGTATCTTTTGGATGGGGGGCGGCGCAGAAAAACTGCTCATTTTTTTTAGCAACATTTCTCAAACGAAAACATGTGTTTGGGGCCCAAATAGGGCATTTTTTTCACTAGTTGAGGCCTAAAAAAAGGGGGGGGGTCGAAAGTGCGTTGTTTCGCGTATATATGGGGTAAAGGGTTAACAAAAAATGATCAAAAACTTTAGAATCACCTAAAAACTAGTTTTTCCGTGTTAACATGTGGTCTTTCACCTAATTTTGGTGAAAAATTGTTGTTTTGTAACATTTATAATTTTTTTACTTAAAAGTGTTCAAAGACTCTAATTTTGCTACAGTCACCTGGGCAAATAGCTTTTTAAGTCTGCCGCGTTTTTCAAGTTGTTGCTATCAGTGTAACTTGTTGCATTTTTATAGCATGAATTTCAGATTTCTGCTGCCGTAATCGGAGCGAAAACGCAAAATATACTACATAAAGATAATAAATTATTCAATTAGCATTTCAAATTTTCATCTTTGAATATGATAATCAGCTATGACAATGTTTACGCCAAAAACTTAATAAAATAAATTTAGTAAAACTTTAATCGGTGTTGAGTCTTTGTCGATGGGTAATAGATGTTTCATTTGAATAAATTAAAAGCTTTTACTTGCTGTTGTTTTATTGCTTAAAGAAAAAAGTCTATACCATAAACATGAAAATTATGTTTTTAATTATTTTCATAGAAATAAGACTTATTTTTGGGAAATCTATCAATAATAAAATATGCATATTCATTAGATACCAGGAGCTTGAACTCAATCATGTTATGATAGAAATATATAACAAAAAAGTATTCTATTTGAATAACTTAAAGTACACTGTAATGTTTACACCAAGCTACAATGTCATACTTTACATTATCAAAACAAAAGCCAACTGTCTATCTAATTTTAAGCATTTGAACCTTATTTTCGTTTAATGTTTCTAAATACTGTCTTAAAAAGAAAAGATATTTGTCAGCAATAAAATATAACATTTAAAACAAAAAAATCAACATTTCTACCTAACAATTTGGAAGAAAAAAAAATGAACGGTATCAAATGTCTGACAGTTTTAATCTGCATTAGCTTAAAATAAACGCGATTTATGGAGCATTTGACACCGGCAATGAAGTGATTGATGATTTGCAATCAAAATGCATTGATCTATCAATCATTTAATGTTTAAACACGTTAGTTATCTTGGTGTAATTTTACATGGAATTTCGACATCATTTACTATAACGTAATAGAGTGTACCGAACATTACTTGTCAATGTTATTATTTCATTTATTTACTTGAAAATAGTGTCAAACGGTGAGAGATAGCTACTAAATCTAAAAACATTAATGTGTCGATCGAAAAAAAAAATTTAAAATTATTTCCAAAACATTTTGTAAATATAATCGATTGTAAAAAGATATATTAAGTTGTCTAGCAAATTTAAACTAAAGCATTTTTACTGAATAATGCTTCAATGACAAGTTTATAAAGAAAGCAAAATATGCAAACATATTGACTAACAAAAGCATGCGCGAGCTTTTGAAATAATTGTATTTAAATCAGACATCAGCGAATATAATTTTCATTTGTTGTGCTTTTTGTATTTTACTGAAGTATTTGTCTAATGAAATTTAAAGCATCTAATAATTTTAATGATAATTGTATGGGGTTCTTGTTAATTCTATGTATAACTCATAATCACTTCCAATATCAAACAATTCAAACAACTGTGCAAAATTGTAACGAAATATGTTGCAAATCTGTGACACCACATTACAAATTATTTTTTGAATCTTGTTACTTTTCTTATTATCTTATTACCTTTTTTCTCTAATTTGATATTCTCGAAATGTTTTGCCTTATCTGAAGACATGCAACTTTTATATCAGAGAGTTAAATAATAAAAAAAGACGATAATTAACTAAATCTCCCCAAATACTAAACAGTACTAATATAACGTTACTTAACATATACCAAACTATTGAATGCATACATTTGCAGACGCGAAATGGTGGCCTACCTTTTTAAAAAGAATATAGCGCTGTTTGTTTAAATCGTTTATGAAAAATATATATATACGAGTATATACAAAAAACTGAGTTATATTTATCTACAGAGATAACATAAATTATAAAACTATTATAACACCTGTGTTATTTAATGGGTAAGACATTCTGGCAGAATTTAAAAACTAAAGATTTGCAATGATTACAGTCTCGTAAGCATTACACCCTTGCTTATCTTATCATAAAATGCATACTGAAAATATTTTGTGAAAGTAATACTAGATAAAAACCTTAAATTGATTACTTCGGCTCCATTTTGTAAAGATTTGTGCAAGTTTGTATTTCGATATATGTTACATTACATTTAAGCATTCATACAACTTGGATTTTGAAAACTTATTGAAG